GTTCGTGGATACAGCCTTTCTTAACGTGTTTAATGACGGTTTCACTATAATGCATCGACCTACACAATTTGAACTTCTGCATCACTATTTATGTTTATTCCGCTAAATGTTATTTAGTTGGTTTTACGAACTCCACCAAGATAAAGAAACCCGTGTCAACATGAAGGTTAAACTGACAGACAGTTTGAATGGCTTAAGAGATAAAACTAAATGACACCGCAGTTAAGGCAACCTTTGGAAGAATAAAATCTGAAATCTGTTTGATTTGTTGAATGGTTATGCATTCACTGAAGACATTTTTCTTAATATATCCAAGAGGTTCCTATGTTATTCTGATCCATTTTCGGATGATATGTCACCTAGATCGACAATAGAGTAAACAATTCTCCAACCTTCTCTCCTTAGCACTTGGTTGACATATATCACCATATCCCAGATCGATGCTCATGCTGTTGATCACTGGATTGTCTGGTCCAGACTCGATTATTTACAGACCGCCGCCATACAGCTGGAATATTGCTGAGTGCGGCGTTAACAACCAACCAACTTTTCATAAGCTACAGAATGTTTCACCTTGCTCACGGTCATCCTGTAGGTACAAATAGTGCAAGAAACCCTTTACATTTATATGCAAGTACATCACGGTTCCATTCAGACTTTGCCACAGATTCATCACATCTAAAGTACCAGCCCTAACGGATATTCGAAGCCTATCTTTATTATGCACAGTTATCAAACATTTATATTGAGCGCTAACATAAGGTTTATGTTCCAACCACACAAGCGCTGATAACATCAAACCTTATACTTAAATAGGCACTTATGTCCCATGATGACCTGATAACATCTCGACCCCTGGGGTGCTGGTCTTTTTAGTGTCTGTTTAAGATGATGGAGCCTTTGAGTACAACTCTTAAGTATCCGACACCTGACGTTCATACTTACAGCAGAAGCTTGATTCTTTGAGAGTACAGCAATTTGATTTGAGTTGTCAAGTTACGGTAAAGCAAGGAACCAACTTTTACTTCGCGACAAAAGTAAGTTCGAATCATCAAAGTTCAGTGTATAGTCCTGTAAAGCCGTGGTCCATGCCCTTCATGCATTTCGATACAAGCGGAATAAAACTTCATAAGAAATCTCCATTCCGGCTATATCACATACACGTGTTTATGAATAAGTATTAAATAGTGATGTTACCAGGTGCATGCTGATGATAATGCAGAATGGCCTATCATGCCCGGGGGACCAGGACGCGCCTGTTGCTGCCTCTAATGAACTTAAAGATACTGATAAAGAATACGCTTGCATTGGTTGTTTGATCCGTATGCACGAACCCTCGCTTCTTTACTACGTGCCTACTCTTTACTTTTGAAAAAGGTAAAATGTCATCACACAACAGATGATAGATTAATCACCAGCAAGATTATTTTTTACCCACTAAAAGTGACAGTTTAGATTATATCCGTCTTAAGAGTTCGATAGGTACTGATTGATGTTAATGTGCTTTATGTTAGAGCAATCGTCATACTTATGCGTTGTTCAGGATACACCCCTCCTCAAGAACGCTTTAATACGTCTTTGCTTACGACACACATATATACCTATGCGTGATACAACCGGTAACGAACCAGAAGACAACCGTTCATGAGGTCACAGATTCTCCACGGTGGCTTACGGGTATGGTACTGACAGCCAAATAATGTTGTTACCAGTACGTCACGGGAATTCAACTGTCTCCGGTTCATTGCCATGATGGACCGTGCATGGTGTCATTATTGACAACCGCCTGTACATAATGACGTCATGTTGACATCATACCAGTTCATACAATTTGACTATTCGCCAGCGGGCAACTGTTAATGTGAAAAAGTAATATTTTAGAGATACTGAAATTTAAACATTTAGCATCACGCCCACAAGTTTTTTTCCGGGAAAGATAAGTAATTGCAATATAATAAATATAAAATGCATGATTTATTCTATTGGTGTTATGGGTTTCGGAAATGTAAGAATGTTGATGTGTCCTGTATCATAAACCACGTGATGAATCTACCGTATCTAAAATTGTATTCTGCGTTGAATAACCAACTCAATTTCTAGTTTCAAAGAAGAAGCTGAACTGTAAATGCATGAAATGTATATACATCAGTTTTGAGAAAAATCGAATATTCTGTCTCGAAATTATGTTTGTACTTCTGATTTATGGACGTTCCTAACTAAGGAGGAGACATATGCGCATTTTATCGATATTTTCCCATTCAAGACATATTTTACTTCGTGAAAAAGAAATAAAAATATTCGATTAAGAAAATATTATTGACGTTTATGTTACCTCTATAATTTACTGCTCTGGATGCAATGGAACTGAGTGAGTTACGATTGAAGGGTGGAATGTCTCCATTCATCACTGTCACATAGGCAGATGCTGTGCCATCTGACGCAAACTTTCATGTATTGTCAATACGGAAAAGAACACGTCATACACACCAGCCACACACATACACAATAAGGTAATGAGGAATACATCCTTTGTCAGTTTTTAGGCCCTTTGTGTGTGGTTTGTGAAGCACGTTTACATTGCAATTTAATAGTTCGAATTGCAAAAGTGCTCTGGATTGTATGAAGGCAATGCCCGACATTGAAATTAGGTACACTGTCAGTTACGCACGATTACAGAGATGTTGGAATGTATTTTGCCAAGATATGAATGACTTAGATTCATTCATGTTTATCACTACATTAAAAATGACAGCTAAAGTCATTTTACCGTAACATAAATTCAAGGCATTAATATCTTGGATCTCTGTTTTCAGCAGTGGGAAATAGAGTGTTGTGTTTCAAAATATTTTAAATCAAACAACGCTTATCAGTGAAAAGTGCAGATTATTCTGAGGCTGCGAAATGAACCAGTTTTCTCCCAGTAGTCAAGGGTGCGCCATGTTGAGACAGTGATTGCCATCAAGGGACATGAAAGACGCTGCCTGTCTATTTTCCTTTATAAAAATACCAAACTGGGACACCAAAGTCCTTATCCTTTGAGTATTTAACTCCTGCTTGAATATTATAGTTCATATATCAGCTTGATGTTGGACATGCGCCGAAGAGATGAAGGGCTAACAGAGACGTTTAACACATTGCTGAAACACTTCCAAAGGGAAACATCTCTACAGGGCAAATGTTGGTGCTCTTGACGATCGAGGCACCGATGCCTACCGTTCTTCATCGTATAATCAGGGCAGTTCAGTTCTATTTTCGAAAGGGCCCGTGATGAATTATATGGAACAAACTACCACAACTGACCATCTGCTAAGGGATAACTTTGAACAAAGCATGTTCTTTCTACAAAGATTTCAAAGAGCGTGACAGACTCTTGCTCAAAAGTTGTTTGATCGGGTTACAGGATTCAAGGCCACAGGAATACTTTCACAAATGTTATTGTACACTTGTGAAGCATCACTGACCAAAATGATATTCCAACAAGTCATTATTTTCATTTTATACGATATGTTCCCGTTTTTGTTCAGGTTATCACATGCCTTGCCTTTGCATGTCTTTGTGACTGTTTTAGACATACCACATGTTTATGATATTTTTGAAATCATAATGGCTCAGGAATATTTTGTCTTATTATTTGCTCATATCTACTGTACTAGATTAGGCGTCTGACATGTACGAGCACTATGCACAAAGTAGGTAAACCATCTAAAATTGCCCAAGTATCACTATAACGACCAAATGCCCACAGCACATCATCATGTTCTGCAGCTGTGTCTCGTCCTAATTACAACAACATCCACTGAGTAAGACTGTGAAAGGACTTATCCTAGCTGGCAAAATGAAACTTGTTTTAGCATAATAACATATTCCTGTCACATACACGTACGTACTTTGGATTGTTATTTAAGTTTGTTAAAGTCCAGCCAGTTTTTCCTCACAGTTGATTACAGAAAGACTACACTCGCCAAAAGACATAATGATTTCGCTCCCGAAGATAAAGTTGAAACGCGTAGGAGAGAAATTCGTGTTGTGTCATAATTTTATGGATTTCTTCATATATGTACTCCTGTACAGTGCAGAATATATATTAAATCATACACATCTTCCTTTATATACATCATCACATAAATGAGAAATAACCCTTATATACTTTCGCTACATTTCTTTATACTTTCGATGCATGTCTTCGCACATGTATATTAAAAATGTACACACATCATATTTGTGAATGCTTTTAACATATTAACTGCAAGATGATCCCCTTTATGTTGTCTTTCCCAAAGTGTTTCCGTGGTAATATATCATTGACATCGTTTAGTGCCATAATGCTACGCAGTACAGAAAAAAGTCTGTATGTGGGCGTATGTTTATGTACATCAATACGCATGGTTTGTCCATTAAATGCAATGTACTCACTTGTAATTTATGTCGCATGGTTCTTATAGAGTCTCCGACATTTAATGCTCTACATATATAAATAATCATTCTCACAGTTGAAAACATATATGTACATATATACTCTTATAAGATCGTCCTGTAGGCAATAACAATTTTAGAGGTAGAAATGTGTGTCAGTTTGATAGACGTGTGTCTATGGTTCAAGTTCATTGATAATTTCAGCTAAGAATGAACTGCATGTAAATATGTCTTACATAATGACATACGGATACAGACGGTGAGCATAACGTTCGACAACCCGAGGTGTTTAATTACTTACTTCCCCTTCGTATCAGTGTGCACTCAAATTCCATGCTTGGGGCAAATACATATATTTTAAGACACGCTTACGTCGACGTCGGATCGGATAGCCATGTTTTAATCCCCTCCTTATACACATAAGTTGCTCCTCCTGAAAAGTATGGCCGTAACGGTAAATATCTCAAACGTCTCGAACTCCTGGGATATTTTTCATGGGTCCCCCTTGCTATGATTTAGCAAGGTGTTCCTGTTTGTAAGTACACGTCCGGGCATGTAGAATAACATGAAACAAATAGTTAACATACCTGTTCCAGCCACACGTTGATAGTAAGTACTTGGTTAACTTCATCCTGCAACATAAAATCGTTATTTGTAAATTTATAGTTCTTTTCGAATGATAAAACAATCGACAAAACGAAACTAATGAAAAAACAAATTGCGAATCAGCTATATGTTTCCAATAAATGTAAATGAATGTGTGCATCATGCAGAACCAGATTTAATTAAACGCTATGCGTGTAGCGTAAGGTGCACAGACAACCATGAAATACTAGCATAGAGAAAATGCAATTGAAAATCGTGGCGTCAGAAATCAGTTATGTACCGGAAGTGGCTAAAACAGTTACAGCATAATACTTGATTCATTAAATATTGTTATTTTGTCAGGATTTACAATCCACGAATGAACATAAAGTCAACACAAACATCTAAAAACGTAAGCATTTCGTATGTGTTATGTGTCGACAGTGATAGAATAAAAATATTGAATTGGAGTTATTTACACAATAAGCCTACGCTTATCCATTTCTGATAATTTCGACACTTTATTGTCAAATCATGTCAAAAGCTTTAACTCGAAAATGTAATTTTGTGGAAATATAAGAAACTATGCTCCATTTTTTTTAAAAACCCGACAACTCGATGTATTATTATGGCTCCAGCACATGTTAATGAGGCTTTACTGTACCAATTGGAGTGAAACATACCGAACGATTGCAATAACTGTTTTGGTACGTACTTATCATTGTTTTCCCACGTAAACCACGTTGAAGACACATTAATCATTTATAACATTATATTTTCAGAACTACATCCATTAACTCCACAACATCTTCGTGATCAATCCACTGAACCTTCTGCACTGCGGATAGAGCGATCCTACGCCATGTCCGTGTAAACCATGACATATACATTGTGTGCAGGGGAAATACTTCTCAAAATGTCATGTTTTTCTCCGTAACAATGCGCTGTTAACTACTGCAAGAGTTAACTGACCCAACTCCATTGTTCATTCTTAATGGCCGAAAGGCCCTAGACGTAAAGTAAATAGTAATGAAACCTTGATATTAATACACTAAAGAGCACATTCATGTTCTGTCCGATTTGTACAGTGTGTTCCCTTGTTGAATGAGAGTATGTCAGTATTCAACATGACCGATTCCCTTGTAGCCTATGTATTTACATGTACGTGGCTCTTTTTAAACCTTTTATCCAAGCAATGTATTTCACCAACGAGATGTGTGCGCTGTATCATTATTTCACAGCACATGCATTGCTAAAATAACGTAGTGTTAGTAAATGTGTATGTTTTCATCTGTAAAACTAACAGAAAATGTTGAAATATTTACAAAAAACCTACTTAACATTACTCCATGCTATTGAATAGGGGAAACAAGTACACACAATTCAATTTGTAAATAACAGTTGTGCGGATGAATAAAATTAATAGTTTGAAAGTTTTTTTCTTGGGATAATGTTCACCTACTTCAGAGCATCTGTCTAAAGCCAAATTGCCAATGATTGGTCCCTTGTAAGCACGCTACACTGAACTGTACGGCAAAACGAACGGCGCAATTGCACCTTCCAGAGGACGGCCCAGGAAAACCAATAGTTGGGAACACAAACAACCACCATGCTAATTCTAGATCTCGACGAAAACGTAATTGGAAATCTTGTTTGAATTTAGAAATGTCAATGCCTTCACCAAGCACTGATTCAGAAGAATATACGTTTTGAGAGGCAGCATTCTCCCCGAGGAGTTGTTACTGGAACAATTGACGATAATGTTTGTGACATACATAAACATCAATGCTATAAATCAACAGCTAGTATGTATCAGACATTCAACTTCTCAAACAAAAATTGAAACCTTTCATTTACTAGAATCATGATAAGAGAGATGTCTACAAGAATAAACTAATACCTTTTGTAAAACTAACACCCAAACGGAACATACACTAGCCAAAGGCTATATAGTCTGTGCCTGCATCATATCAAACCATTCACTCAAACATCTCAAACATGCATGCAATTCATGATGAAAAGTAATATGGTGTGCTTACATATCAATCCACGACTGTTTCACTGTGGATGCAACATGATCCCAAGATCTGACGATTTACATTGTACATCAAGTACTGTGAACTTTTCAACATAATACATATTTGGTATCTTATATGTCCTTAAGGTATTCAAAATGAGGGTAGGTCCAAAATAACCTAACAATTTCGAATGAATGAAAATCCAGTGGACACAGCGTCTAACACGGAGGAGTATGTGTGATCATGGATTGGTCTCCAACCACCAACTTCTAGTCGCCGATATCGAGTAGGTTTACTGAAGACCGTAGACCCTTGACGTGACTCACGAGAACAACACTCAGACACTCCCAGAAAGACATCATTTGTATCTTCTTACATGTTTCAAACTGGATTTTAAAATTTAAAGTTGACATTCTGAAAGGTACCCTCACAATGAACCCAGCAGAGCCAAAATACAAGCAAAAGGGACAAAACGTTTTACATAATTAAGAAATTTACTTCCATCGAAGACAGCACCTGGAAAAGGCAACGTCCTTTTATGCATTACTAATAATTCTGAATACACAGCGAGTGGTATATGTAGATACATTTATACAGCCAGAGTGAAACAAGTACATTTTGTATTAGATTATAACTTCAAACAAACCTGAATGGATATTTAAACTTTAATAATTTCATATTTTAGTGAAAGTGCAAGGTAAGGAAAACCACAGACGTAGCTGCTGAAAAACAAATGAAGATGACGACGACCAACTGTGTTTGAGTACTGAGGTAATATAAATACTCTTGATCAGGTAAACGCTCCCCTTATAAGAATCAGAAGTAATAACTCCCTCAGGCATTATCACATAAAGTAATTCCTCCACAATACTGTTGTTTCATCTATTTGAGTACACCTATTAAACAAGTGTGATCCAATAAGCAATGTTGACAATGTTTTTCCGCTGAAGTTCTAAACAAACAGGGAATTGCACTCTGGTCACATAGCTATATTTACATAAAGAATATCATACTTCATTGATTAACCAACTTCACTCTCCACACCATACGTTGGGTTTCCAGTAATAGTCAGCCAGAGATTACTCTGTCATAAGGCATACAGAATCAATCATGGGAACAGAATGCACAGATTCAAAGTGACAGAGTAATATGGAAATCATGGGAGAATAACAGGAAATAAAGCTGCTGCAACAATGGTCCAATTACAGGTCTATTCTCACAGCGGACTCTGATCAAGTGCTGGGGAAATTCTTTCACCATTGTTATGTATCTTAGCACCGTTTGCTCCACAGGGACAGATTGAATTTACCTTCCATCTATCCAAGGGCCTTTAACTATGATTGTGTTGTGCGAATGTAGATCTTAACATTATTCACATATTTAGTACATATGTAATTTGATTTACTTTAATATAAAGAATAACGTTTCTAGCTTTATTACTTATTTCATCACTACTGTCTATATCAATTTTATATACATATATATCTTAATAATGTATTCTGGTTCTTGATTTCAGTTGAAGGCATTTGTGTATTTTCTTTTACCTCAGTAGCCTGCAAAGCTGTATTTTAAATTTATGTTTGTTTCTAATGGTTTATATGATCACAGTCTGAAAGTTCCACGGTCACAGTGACAAGCTGAAAGTAGTTCAAGCGTTCAGTGTTCCAAGCTCTATCATCCCAGGCTACAAAACACAAGATGGATTGTTTTACATCAGCTCCAGGAGTTCCAGGGTTTGGTGCCCACATTTCACAACTCCGGTGCAATCAAGCATGCTCCTTCCACGAAGATTTCAAAGAGTGCCATACGATCCCTGCTCAAAAAACTCTTTTGATCAGAATTACAACATTCACAGCCTTAGTAAAATATTCAGAACGTTTCATGGTAGACATATTGGAAGGCATTTCCAAACTTGCTCATTAATGACGAAAATTATATCCGTTGCAGTTTCGTGTTTTTACTCGTTCCATGTGTTCCCGTGTTGTTTCAGGTGCACACATTGCCTTTGCATGTGTTTATGTTATGTCTTGTGGTGGGAACGTTCATCTTTACACGAACACCAGGTATCTTCATATGGTCATAATGTAGTTGGAAACATACAACGGACAGTGCATACAGCAGAAATGTCTTAGAATTAACATTCCCGTGAAGTTCCGGGTTAAAATAAATCTTTAGTAGCCACCGCTTGTCGTAAGAGGCGAATAACGGGTTTGGGAGGTCAGACTCGCTGACTTGGTTTGACAGATGTCATCGTATTCCAATTGCTTACATCGATGCTTATGCTGTTGGTCACTGGATTGTCTGGTCCAGACTCGATATTTACAAACCGCCGCTATATAACTGGAATATTGCTGAGTGAAACTAAACTCACTCACTCAGAATTAAGAACGTCGAAACAGTTTCTCTTTTATCAGAACGAGAGTCTGGACAAAGTGGAAGTTGTCTGAAGTTATTTTCCTTACGTAAATATTGTAATGCAAATATTTACAGGAGAATGTGTAATTGGAATGTATGTCTACGACGACAGACAACATTAGTCAGCAAGCGAAACATATCGATCCTTTACACCAATGCACCACTTGAAAGAATATAATGATATTTGTGGTCACAGTATGATGCGACTGATGGAATTGTGGTATAAAAAGTAACTTAATAAAACAAATGACAACTGGTGGCGACGAGTTCTTAATATTTTCTTCATGCATCGTACCCACCTCTTGCTTCTGTCTGGTGAGTGAGCGAGGACGCTTTCAACAATATTTCTGACACATCACGACTAGGCACAGCAGTAATGGCTGAAGCTGGTATTCTAACTCCCTTGGATACCCCATCTTATGCTTTCTTAAACATATGTAGGAAGGATAAGAACCCATTACCATGTATTTCCATGTCAAAATGAATTGTTTAAAGCCGTGTGCTTCTGGAATTGTATGCTTGTTGTTTAACATCACATTCTACCTTAATGAGTGTGAGTGAGTGAGTTTAGTTTTACGCCGCACTCAGCAATTTTCCAGCTATATGGCGGCTAC